ATTGAAGTCTACGAAGCAGTCACTACCCCAAGTCCACGCCAATAATTCCCATAACCCAACTGAAAAATGTGAAATAGAGTTTTATCTTTCCTATTTGTGAGACATCAATATGAGAAAGGTTCCATCTTTTATTTCACTATTCACAAACCCAGGTGGTGAATTGAATCGATAAAAGAAATATAAAGTTCAGAATATCCATTAGTTCTACACTTACAGTAAGTCTTCTATTCCTAAGTCCTTCCACAACATACTGTTTTTCCTTCTGAAAAATTCTAGATACCAAGTAGTTAACACACCACACACATACTCAAACTTAAGGTGCCCAAGTCCTTACAATTGTGAAAAGTACAACTTTTACAGAAACCATCATCGCATTGAGATTCGAAGAAATTTCACATCTCAAGCAAATTTCCTTGATCAAAATGTCCATACACATTTCCACCTTTCTTATTAGACTTTCCAAGGGTTCAGTAAAGTCGCAATCCCAATTTCCAATACAAATAGCGTTGAATATAGACGCTTTAATATAATCTGACATATCTACTTTAACATCAAATTCTTCAATATACAAACATACCCATATGGAATTACTACATAGTCTACAATTCTACAACATTCCCAACAATTATTATGAAACTCATTACGTAAACAATTGATAAAACGTACAAGATCAACCAAAGCAGCTGCTTTTTGATATGTAGATCCATAAGCAATTGCATCTGTTCTGTTAAACAAGCGCCTACGATCGCTTCTCGAGCTGTCGCTGCTGCCTTCTCCGCCATCCAACAAAGCCGTCTCCATTGTTTCTCTGATCTCTACTGAATTAAAGATGGTTTGATTTGAACGTGATCAGTAATGAGTAAAGGAGAAATGGCTGTTCGTTATGGATGAATATGAATCATCAGCGTCAGTATGTACTATTGAGTGGGTGGGTCTGTTGTATACGTGGGAGAAAGTAAATAAATCAATGGGGTTTGTGTGGCAGTTTCTGCATGGTTGAGGGACTTCCTGCCAAGGGAGTAGAAAAAATAAATGAATTAATCTGCAAATACAGATTTTTTTAACAAAAATGATATAGAACAACAGTTGTCTTCTTATGATTTGCTGTCATTCAAAACTGTTTTTGATAACAACCAATTACAATAAGACAACTGTCTTTCTATATCATTTCTGTAGAAAAAAATTTGTACTTATAGCATTGTCGAAAATAAATATCAAAAAATTCAAAATTAATCTGATTCAAAACCAACAATTGTGTTTTTAAAATTTTTTTTGTTAAAGTAATTTTGACTCGAAAAAATATGTATTTCGAATATTGTTGTTTTTTTAGTAGTGAATATTGTTAATACTCGAGAATACGGAACTTCAATTGTTGAATCTCGTACATAGATAAATAGACAAGCTATGCTTAAGTAACTTTTCGAGCTGAATGAACAATGTAATATGTCCTAGATAGATGACTTGGGCTAGAGTCTAGATCGTTGCAGCGCATATCGGGTAAAGGATCACTAGATGCTGGATAATTGTTAGAATTTATGCTTTACAGAATATATTAATTGAAAGTAGGTTTCATTTCTTGTAGGCAGATTCGTGCCCAAATCATCAACAGGGCGACCAGGAGAATTTGGAAGCTCTAGACAATTAATTTTTTTGTGGCCCATATATATATA